TATATATATATATATATATATATATATACCTAAGAGTGATTCGCACAATTATGTGTATATTCTCATTTCAAGGAAATACTGCGTCCTTCGGTGCTATACCTACTGCTCTTTCCCTTTAACCTTGCGCGGTCTCTTCTTTACAGACTTCTGGTGGAAGTCTAGGAAAAGCAGAAAAAGGGTTATATGGTATGTCAATTGAACCAGAGACCACTCTAGAGAGAATTGTCGATCGTAGAGTGGAACCAGAACAGCTTGCAAAATACACAACAAGAACTGAAACATTTGAATTTTTGTGAGCAAAGCCTTGAAAGGATTCTCAAAGCCCAACGAAGTCCAAAGGTAATGAGAGTACATNAAGAAGTGAACTGCAGAATTAATCCATGCGCCAAAAAAGGCCGTACCATTACCAATGCCATTCCTTAAGAGAAGACCCCAGATGAATCCTATTGTGGTGTGGTGATAAATGTGAAGAAACGATAACTGGTCATCCTTTTTACGACACACCATGAACACTGTGTCGAGCATATCCAGATATTTGCTACAGTAGTGCACAAAAACCCATAATTCAATGCTCGCACAAAAGCGTCCGTTCAGGTTAAACACGCCATTCTTCAAGTGTGGTGCCAAGTAAATTGCCATTGCAGCTGATAGTATGATTTGAACAATGTTGTACACAATCATCGGTTTGCTTGTATCAAACGCCTTTCGAGACTCCATCCATTTTCTTAGTAGAAACACGACGATGAGATAGCACAGGTCACCCCCGATAAGAACATACCAAGAAACAAATGGATTCAAGACAGGGTAGAAACAGAGCGATTCCCTACCGTAGCATTCTGCTGAATCACGAAACGCCGACATCCCCTTCACACCTACAACCAAACGAAAAAAAAACCAAGCGAGTTTACCACAAAGCACTTAAATTTTACTTGATTTGCCACGCAAAATCAACAAGGTGCCACCACTGCCGCACCAAATCATTAGATGATAAGGGGAATGAAAGGCGTCAATCCCCCCCCCCCCCCC